CTAGTAATTACTAGAGCATTCCTGATAGAACAAGATAGTTCTAGAAACTAGAGGGTGCCACAGTGGTCATGTGACTCGCTGACGCAACAATATGTTTTCAGTAAAATATTACATGATGACTCCTGCATATTGATAGCTAGGCATATCATCTTAATTGCAAGAGATTTTAATGCGAGTTTTGTTTATTGGAAACAAACATTTTTTTTTCTGAGTATGATGATCATTTCAGAAAAGAAAATTCACATTCTTTATTTTATTTTGGCTTCCACCACAAAAAATAAAATAAAAGTTCACTAACGATTCTCCTCTTAAGATTTTATGGCTAGCTATCATTGTTTAAAGTACCTCTTGGTAGAATTTTGGTTGATACAGTTATGAAATTTGATGGTAATAGGTTTGTCTTTAAGCTATTTGACTGTAGAAATGTTGTTTAACTTTTGTAACAAGATTATCTTTGTTTTATATTTCACGTGATGGGTAACTAAACATATAACTGAAGTTATGTTTAAGTCACATTTATAACTGGTTAATAAGCATATAATTATTTTAACAGATTTATCAGAACCAGAAAGCTTAAGAAGTCATCATGGCAGCAGGGCCTTATAATTATTCTTACATCTTTAAGTATATCATTATAGGAGACATGGGGGTGGGAAAGTCATGTCTTTTACATCAGTTCACAGAGAAAAAATGTAAGTATTGTGGTTTAGGAAATTGTTTGTTGACATTGAAGGTGTTGCTTTAGTCACTAATTGAATTTTTTTCATATTTGCTACAGTTTACTATTTATTACAATTTGTAGTGAAAAAGCAGAGATTCATTTCTATTACAGGAAAAATAGCAAGGTATTAATAAACTACAGAGATAGATTACTTAAAATATTCTAATAATTGGTTTACATAATTAAGCATACGCACTTAATGTTTTGTACATGTTTTTGCTAAAGTACAGAATAATTAGTGATATTCAAGTAGTGGTTATAAGTATAAGTAGTTTCATGATGTTAGAAAAACACGTAGGTTCAAGAAGTCTTGATAGAAATGAATAAAAACCCTATAACCCTAGCCCTATCGAATGGTGGACCTTTCTTCTTCAGGGGCAAACTGAAGAAGAAAGGTCCACCTTTCGAGAGTGCTCGGGTTATAGGGTTTTTATTCATTTATAGTGCAAGTAGTTTATTGTTCTTTGTTTTATAAGTTTGGTTTGATCACATTAGGAATGTTATGTTCAATTATTGTTTTCTTAAAAACAGAAGGATATCAGTTTTCTAGAACTTTCACTGAGAAACATTGGAAGTAGTGATGCCTGATTAAAGCACTTGCAAATTTGTAACAAGTCTCAAGTAGAATTTGGGGCTAGAATAGTCTTGTAGTGAGTGACCTGTTTGAGTAGTGGAATGAGAAGGTTGGAAACAGAAATTTTAATATTAGGGTAAATAGTTTAAAGTATCAGAATCCCAGGTACAGACTTCTTTGACAAAATATTTTTCAGCATAAACCTCTGGAATTCTTTAACAGGTAGTTTAGGTAGAATATTCCTATTGAATTGACTGTGAAATTGGTGGCAACTGTCTATTAGAGAGACACTTGTAGAAATATATTGGTGGCTACACAATCTACTTATGCAGCTCATGTGTAGAGGACGACATTTCAAAATGTTGCCCCCTACACTCGAACTGCATAAGTATATTGTATAGTCACCAATATATTTCTACAAGTGTTTCTCTAATATGCAGTTGCCACCCATTTCACAGTCAACTCAACTTCTGGAAGGTTTGACTAATGAGTATGTATGTGTAGTTAAGTTTTGATTCTTTTAAATATTTGTTGGATGTGAAAGACTACATTTAATTTCACTTGGATGTTTTGGAGGGTAATGACTTAGCTTCTTTCACCTCACTTTTTCTGATGTTTGCATAAATGGTACTGAAAGCCATATATTGTAGAATGTAGGTTATAATATCAAGTTGTCAGAGAAAGCTGATATACAGAAGATAGTTGTTCTAATTCATTAGAACCTTGGTGTCCTTAGTGAATCATCAGTAACATAGAAATCAGACTTCAGCATTGAAATATAATATAATGAACTTTGGACACACAAATTTAGAAAGTAGATACTTGTGTAAAAAAAAAGTGCTAGTGTAATGGAGAAGATGGAGTAATATCCTGAAACCTTCAGTCAAGAATGTTTGATCATGATGACTGGTATTATTCAAGTAGTGGATACAAGTGTAAGTAGTTTGTTGTTCTTTGTTTTGTAGGCCTAGTTAGATCACATTAGGAGTGTTATGTTCAGTTATTACTTTCTTAACAAAGGAAGGATATCAATTTTCTAGAAATTGTACAGAGAAGGATTGCAAGGATTTCAATACTGAAATTTAATTTCTATGTTTCTGATTAATCAATAATAACACCAAGAATCTACTGATTAAAACATTTGAAACTTTTTGACAAGTCTTAAGTGCAGTGAAATCTTTTTGATTATTGAGACATCTGGATAGTTGGATCAGTCATTGAATACAATGGGCAATTAATAGCAAGCATTATTGATCTGTAAATGTAAAGGTGGGTATGCATTAAGTACACGTAAAGTAACTGAATGTACAATAAACTTAACTGTTTATCAGTTTATTTGTCATCAATAATTGTACCAGTTACATAATTGAAGTGGCATATTATGTCATTATCTTCACATAAATCATCATTTTCTTCAAATCAATGATTTGTAGGATTCAAACTACATACAGAGTGTCTGAAAAGTCCGGAATCATGGGCACTTTAGCAAAATTTACAGAATGTGTTTCTTGTAATTTGAAGCAAGTTGGATTTAACAGCAGGATTAACTCAACCTTCTCATGCTTTGACACCACTGTAATCAGTTGCATACCCGAAATTAAGAAAAGCTACAAATCATCCATGGTTCCAGACTTTTTGGACACCTTTTAGTACCTGATGATGACAAAACCTTGTCGAAACGTTGTACATTTGCTGTTATGTTAAACTTATATTAAAGTTTTTCTTCATTACCCATTCAAGCCGTCTCCAGCCATTATTAGTCTCAAAGTGGGTTCCTCGTCACCAAACCTTTTAGTATTGTTTTCTTGTATTAACAAACTTGTATGCATCTTAATTTTGGAACACTGTGACTTGATTGCTATAAATCACTTTTATGACATTTCGATAGCTCTTATAATTTTGTATGTATAACTCTATTGTAAAGGTCGTTCTTAGAAAAATTTTAAAACAGCTATAAAAGGACTTGTCATGGCCTTGTGGTTATAGCATCTGACTTGCAGTCTGCGAGTCATGGGGTCGGACCCTGTTACAGAGCGTGCTTGCCCTTTCAGCTGTGGGGGTATTATAATGTAATTGTCAATTCCCTTATTCATTGGTAAAGAACAGTTCAAGAGGTGGCAGTGGGTGATGTTGAATAGCTGTGCATTAAATTCAGCAGACAAAAAATCAGCTGTAAAAGTTGTATGCGTATATATACTTGAAAAGATTCAAAAAGTTATACATTCAGTATTTAAGTTACAAATATGTTGGAGTTGCACTTTTTAACTTACTTCCTGATGTTATTTTTTTTAGTCTAGATGTTATGTGTCTGATATAGCACAATAACCATTGATGAGAACAAACAACAAATGCAGTAAAACCTCACACTTTGATGTTTATTTTACCATAAAACTTTCCCTTTAAAAAAACCTTTCCATTTTTGACAAAATGAAGCAAAATTTGAACCTAGAACTCAGGGTATTTATAAAGTTTCAGGTATTCTTTTGAATGAAAAAAAAACCTAGGAGAGGGGAATAATTTAGTTTGCGTGGAAAGCTATCCCTCCTACCATATTGGAAAAAGAAAACTTGCCTTTCTTATGCTATGACATCTAGATAAATGAATTAGAAATATGAAAAAAATGGAACCCTGTCTTTACTACCACTAAGTCATCTCAATAATTCAGTTACCTCTAGTTTCATGCTTACAATGTGTCTGAAGAGCACCTTACTCACTGTACGAGTGTTTCTAACCATGTAAAGAGCACCTTACCCACTGTATGAGTGTTTCTAACCATGTAAAGAGCACCTTACCCACTGTATGAGTGTTCCTAACCATGTAAAGAGCGCCTTACCCACTATACGAGTGTTCCTAACCATGTAAAGAGCACCTTACCCGCTGAACGAGTGTTTCTAACCATGTACTTGAGTGATATTTTAGCAAGCTATTTTGCAAGGAAACTTTGATCTATAACCTGTTTCAATATGTTAAGGCCAATATGGAAACCATTTTTTATATTAATTTTAATATTCTATTGTTTTTATATATTTTTTCTGTTAAGTTATTGTTCTCAGCTTTTTAAAATTTGAAATCAATGTGGCAAAGGGTTTGAAAATTTTCATTTGAGATAAACTTGTTTTACAAGAGTGTCTGTAGTGTATTTGGGGCTAATAGCAAAGTAGGAAAGAAACTTCTCAGTATGTTTCTCTAGATAAATATGGTGTTAAAAATATTGTATGGCAAAAAATTGTTAGTATACTGTCATGAAGTATCACCTTATCATTATTTTGTAACTTCTTTGATATTACATGGTTTATAAGATTGTGTTTGCAAAAAAAAAATATCTGTTGATTGTCCTCTGAAATTATATTTTATTGTAATGTTTCAATGACCTGTGACATTTCATTAGGCCACATATCTTCTTATAGCCATTATTAACATTATCATTAAATTAAACTGTGCAGGTGTATATAGTGAGATCATTGAAACGTTTAGTGTTCGTGAATCTAGAAATTCTTTGCAAAGAATTCAATACTTAATTATTTCTCTGCTTTTGGTATTTGTTCAGTCATGGCAGATTGCCCTCACACTATTGGAGTAGAATTTGGCACCCGAATTATCGAAGTCTCTGGGCAGAAGATTAAACTTCAGATTTGGGACACAGCTGGTCAGGAAAGGTTTCGAGCAGTGACTAGGAGCTATTACAGGGGAGCTGCAGGGGCACTTATGGTTTATGACGTTACCAGGTGAGGAAATGAAGTTCCAGCTATTCTTATATAGTTGAATAGATGGCTCGTAAAATGATAATTCATCTCCTAGGATTATTTTTCACAAAACAAAATATTTGGATAACATATTTTGGATTTGGCTACATTTTAAAGAATTATCTACAATGAACTATATATATTACATAAACTATTTCTTTAAAATTATATTTATGGAAGTTGCACGTTTTTTGTCTACATATTGAAGGTTAGGTAAAGTACATACACTCATGTATATTTTATTTGCATCTTATAATAACGGAAGCAAGAGTTTTGAGGTTGTTTCTACCAGTGGGCAACATTAGTTATGGTATAATTATGTTATGTACTCTAGAACTTTTGTGAAGATAGACTTAACTGAACAACTGTCAAAGATATTCATTTCTTGAAGGGCATAATGCAATTCACATTTTTTATAGCCAGGATAGCAGTTGTACATAGGACAAGAATATGTATACTATAAGATTAAAATATTGTTGTTAGTGATATAAATATTTTTCTAGTTTATAAATCCACTATGTAATGCTAAGTTTTATTGCTGTTATTCATTCACTGAGGCTCTCTCTATATACCTGTTAAGTTTTAAAGCCAGCCTGTTACTCCTTCTTCTACCTTTTTTAAAACAATTCTGAACTCGCGTGTTATTAATTTGAATGTATGTTCTATTTTAGATTTTTTGTCCATTATGAAAAAACTAGGCCTAATTTGGTAGCTAAAATAGTTAACACCTTTAACCCATTTGGTGCGGCTGGGATGTATATTTCCCAGTGCTCCCGCACTCTCACACTGTGACTGGGCAAATGTTTCCCATTGTCAATGCTGTTTACGCCTTCCTCTGCTGGGTCCAGATTCATCATCTTGACTATCATCACTAGATGGAGAGCTAACATCCTCTTGTCTCATTGCCTCTTCATCATCACACATTTGAACACCATTTGACTCACTTTCACTATCTTCTGAGCTATCTGAGTCAAGCACATCAAACATATTTACATAGTAATTAGGGTTACTACTTGCCACTGTAGCGATGCGGGTACGGTCAGCACTTAGGCATCTTGTTGGTTACTGAAGGGCTGAGTAGTAAACACTGAGGGAAACCATATATCAAGATTAGGTGGGATGCCAATAAATACTTTCCAACTCATTTTACTACCATACATCATGTGCAGCAATTTTGAATGACAATGGGAAATATTTGTCCCAGTTGCAATGTAAGGGAGTGGAACCACTGGGAAATATGTCCCAGCCACAGTGAAAGGGTTAAATAAATTTAGAAGTATTATTAATTACTATTTATTTGAAGTTATTCTAGTTGTTTTAAAAGTGGATTTTGTTTTTACAAATATGTAACAGTCTGTAAGATTTAAACACAAGTTGTTCAACATCTTTGCAGAATGTTAAAAAGTTGTGTCAGTTGAATACGTATATAACAGTCTAAGATTTAAACACAAGTTGTTCAACATCTTTGCAGAATGTTAAAAAGTTGTGTCAGTTGAATACATATATAACAGTCTGTAAGATTTAAACAGAAGTTGTTCAACATCTTTGCAGTGTGTTAAAAAGTTGTGTCGGTTGAATATGTATATAACAGTCTGTAAGATTTAAACAGAAGTTGTTCAACATCTTTGCAGAGTGTTAAAAAGTTGTGTCGGTTGAATACGTATATAACAGTCTGTAAGATTTAAACAGAAGTTGTTCAACATCTTTGCAGAGTGTTAAAAAGTTGTGTCGGTTGAATACGTATATAACAGTCTGTAAGATTTAAACAGAAGTTGTTCAACATCTTTGCAGAATGTTAAGTTGTGTCAGTTGAATACGTATATAACAGTCTGTAAGGTTTAAACAGAAGTTGTTCAACATCTTTGCAGAATGTTAAAAAGTTGTGTCGGTTGAATACGTATATAACAGTCTGTAAGGTTTAAACAGAAGTTGTTCAACATCTTTGCAGAATGTTAAAAAGTTGTGTCGGTTGAATACGTATATAACAGTCTGTAAGATTTAAACAGAAGTTGTTTAACATCTTTGCAGAATGTTAAAAAATTGTGCTGGTTGAATACGTATATAACAGTCTGTAAGATTTAAACAGAAGTTGTTCAACACTTTGCAAAGTGTTAAAAAAGCTAGTGTCGGTT